TAAATTCTAATATCACTACACCCCCGCTGCAAGATTTGAACTAAACCCCCAAAAAAGAAATATCAGAATTTCGCTTCCAAGAATTTCCACAACAACAACACACACGATACATATTCGGCGATTCCTTCCAAACAAACACATAAATTGTGTAACATACTAATGTCCACATGCTTTTGTAGCCACTTCACCCTGGAAGAAAAATTCACTGTGAGAGCCCGGACTTGACAAAATTTTGAGGGGAAAAATTTTCGTCTTTCGAAAGTTAAATTGGTTCAAATCTCAGAGAAAAAATTTTCAATTTAATTACGGGAGGATGATTGTATCTTTATTCCCGGAGTCACTTCCTTTCCCAGGTGACACATTCGATGTGCCATTTAGGAAGAAACTACAAATATTCACCATTAGTCGAAAACAGTAACATGGCGTTAAAATCAACGGGGAGGAGTCCTGAAATAAAAGGGTAGAATCGAGGACGACAGATTCGTGGGGCCCGAGAATTCGCCGATCTACCTCCTTTTCATGTGAGTGTAGTTTAACCGTGTTCCATCGCCGATTCCTTCTCCGATCCGTTTACCGTAGGCGCCCCTTAGCAACGAACATTTGATAGTGAACTGTGCATATCAAAAACCTAATTCTCCATCCTATCATCCAGACGTTTTGCGATGCGGTCTCAAGACTTCAATCAAGGCATTTAGCATCGCGCGTAATAATGTAAGCTCTCTCTCTCGGCAAGGGACCCGTTAAAATAGTACTTAACTAAACTATAAGATTATGCAGGGCATATATCATTTGAACCCTCAAATCACCTATTAACTATAATGGCCGCCATGGATTCGGCCGAGATTCTCTAATCTAAGTTTCCGTAGGACCCACCAGTGGCATAGTGGATAAAACCAACGGGTTTGCACCTGGCCAATCTGAGTAAAGTTTTCCGGGCTTTCTTCGTGTGTATAGGCCAAGTTTTCGGAGCCATCTTTTTCTTAGCAAATCGCCCGCGTGTTGCGATGCCTTACACCATCAATCCTGAAATTCTAAGTTCCTTTCGTGGGCCCGACAGTACTTGTGATGGGTATGAATAAAAGGCCATCTTAGTGACCAAGGGTGGAAGTTTACACTATCTATCACGTTTTACTATACATACCAAGCACGCGAATCAGTAAAAATGGAGGAGTGCGCCAAAGGATGGAATGCACTAAATACTTCTTAAGTATTCTGAGCTAAAATGGGGTGCGCCGTATAATACGATAATATAATACAGAATTTGCTAACTAATGTAACTTGCCGAAAATGGTAACACGTGTTTCCATTTATCATCATAGAAAAGGGACAAAATGAATTCTTCCTCATCTACATATGTACAATATCGTAAATACAAGTTGCCGCTATTCATACCAAGAGAGGTATTTGCACTGTTTTTGTGGGCAATGCCCAAATTTGGCCACGCATCCACATTCAATACACGTATGAATGTTTAAGTGTCGGTCAGTATCATTGCATAAATGCTCAAAATTAATTAGAACGAATTAAATTAGGTTATGAAACTTTAATCTTATTTTAACTTTAAAAATACTGTATTTTTTAATATTTAATATTTTCTTAATTAAGTACAATAAGAAAAATTATTATTTAATAATAAAACGATTTTATTAATTTTTCTCATTATACGATTTCATTACAATCGCCGAATCGAAAAAGGAAGTAAAACTGATTTTTGCATTAATGCGTTTATTGTTTTTTGAATATTATTTTTCTAAAAATATCGTGGAAATAAGGTAGGTTGATACAGAAACTATTTATCGCACGTGTACTATATATGAGCTTCAAAATAAATAAATAAAAATAGATTTTTATCAAACGATGAGATCATCCGATTAATTGTATCGTGTACAATATTTTACACCCCACAAGGAAAATACTGTAGGTCTAGGGTAAAATAAATTTTCTTTTCCCACAGTTAAACTTCGCCGCTAATTGCTGTTGTGATAACTTTAATACGATCTTCTAACGACAGCACTTTGCATTTCGGACATTTTCCAACAAACTGAAATGAATTTCCTTTGTTGCTAGACTAATTTATTAACACCTGCACCTAATTTCGAGGGTGGGAGAAGTGCCCGGGATGGGTTCGAACGAGAGTTTAGACTAATTCATTATATTAGGAGGTGGAAACGTTGTTGAGATGGGTTCTTACAATAGTTTAGACCAGATACATTCGCGAAAGTGGTCGCTTATTACAGGTGTTGTATGTTGTTTCGGACCAAAAATCGATGCCCGCGGTCGCGTTACACGGGTGGTCGTTTAATACAGGTAACTTATACGAAGACTCTATGGATAAACTATTCCGTACCAGAAATTTTTGCCCGTTTTGGCAGGTGCCCGTCGAATGCAGGTGGTCGCCTAAGCAGTTTTCACTGTATAATAAAGATATATTGCTTTTTATATGATTATTGTGAATTCTAAAATCTAAAGAAAATATGTTTTTATGTTCTTATGTGGAAGGGGGCCCGGTAAGAAGAAAATGTCTAGGGCCCCAAAGTGGGTTAATCCGGCCCAGATGTCGCCCCTCGCTGCGACTGAAAGGGGAGATATCCCGACGGGAGTCGGGGCTCTAATATCGACCCTCGCTGCGACTGAAAGGGGAGATATCCCGACGGGAATCGGGGCTAAAGATTCTCGGCGCCGATCGATTATGAATGAAAATTAAAGAAAATACACTCTTCGCCGAATACGCCGGAGGTTTTTCACTGGCGTTTTCCACTGGCGGTTTTTCGCCGACGTTCCGAAAGTATTTATAGTTCGTGTTTTGCCGATCATTTACCGTTGTCGCGCTCGTTTACTCGCTTTAACTTTAACTTGCAACGTGTTTTCCAAAATTTGTACTACTATTACCAAGAAAAACCGGCTTGCCGAAAAATTTTTAGCTTAACGGTAATACCGGTGTGCGACTTTAGCGTTACACTGGACGGATGGGTTCGAGGCTTAATTCCGCTCGCCAGTTTCCAGCGGCAGACAGCCGGATGGCCGAGCAGTCAAAGTGGCAGCCTCTGGGCGACTCGGGATCGAATCCGGACGGGTCGAGAAATCCCCAGGAATTTTTCGGGGGATGTTTCGTTTGGACATGTCGGGCGCCGTCCCATTGTAGGCCTGGTTGAACACATAATGGGCTTCCTTAAAGAGGCCCTCTTAGTGTCCACTGGACGGAAAGAATTTTTAAAAATGTTTCCGGCGGAAAACGGCAATTACGATTGCTACAAAAACAAACCGACCGTGCATTTCTCTACTAATTAATTAAATACAATTCCCACGTGTTAAATATCTGCAGCCGTAGTTAAGATGACACTTTCGGCGGTAGGGGAAGGAAGTGCAAGATGGGGCCATGGGCTTCCTCATTCCTTATGGGGACGTCTGTTTATTCGTGGTTAACGCGCTTTCATCTAGACGTTTCGGTAATACTTCGTCTAATTTTACGCCCGCTACAAAGTTTCTACAAAGTAAGCATCATTGAGAACTTTTACATTACCTTTTAGATGAAGATATTATGGTATTCGAAATAACCTTTAAGACTGAAATTATTTAGTTTTAAAATAAAGTTGACCCGTGTTTGTAATCAGTATGAAAATTGCACGTTGGGGCAAGATGGGGTACTCCATCTTGCCCAATGTTGGCCATGAATTCTGCTGCTGGCTAGAGGCACTGCAATATAATGCAGTGAACTAGTTTTAAATTCGTTGTCATTGATAATTCTATATCATTTTTTCGAATATATAAAATAATAATTTAAAAAATGATCTTTTTATATAAAATGAAATATTCCACTTTTAAATCATATCTAACTGTAATAAATTTATATAGTATATACAGTATTACTTTATTATTTATGTTTGTACGTTTTATTTTATTTGTGGAAACATTTTTTAAATTTAAATACTATCTTAACAAGAAATAAAATGTTAAATAACAATCGAAATAAAAATTTTTTTCACGAAAAAATATCGTCTGCTTACAAAATAGCGAAACTGAGCATGCGCGTATCAATGTAATTCGTGTATTTAACCTAATTCTTTTTGTTTATATTAATTGTGAATTAAATAAAACATTATTGTTGTTCCTTAAAATAGCAGCAGGCTTGAATAATAGTTATTTAAATTAATAATTTTCATTTACATCAGAAAAGCAAATAACATTGTCTTAATTTGCATTTAAAATTGGCCTTTAGAGTCCTGCCCAACGTCTTTTGTTACTTCTAACTTAAAATAATTTGAACTAAATATGGACAATTATAGATACATTTTTGAATTAAAAACAATGTCATTTTAAATGATATAACCCGTTGTTATGCATCTATAATTTACTTATGAATATATATTTTTTACTACGTTATGCATACGTTTATTCATTATAATAATGAAAAAACTCATATAATCAATTTAAATGTTTTAATTTTGGCATGTACACTTATTGTTCTTTGGGTTTCTTTCCAAAATAGTGTACGTAATACCTTCAAAATTTTTCGCGACACACCGATTGAAAATCACTGCTCTATATCAGTATTTAACTGTCAGATGACAGATCTGCCGCTTTGGAGGATCCGGGTTCGTGTACAATATTATGAACCGAAAATTTTTTGTCAGTCGCTTGCATCCATAAGAGGCGTAACGAAAATGATTTTAATAGATTTTAAAAAATCATTTAATATAATTGAGTATTTATGCACTTCTGGTTCATGGAAAAAAATTCAAATTTATTAATTTTTTAAATCTCTTTTAGCATGTATTTTAATATTTATAAATATTATTATTAATAATATTTTATAATTAGAAATAATAATAAACATATTGCTAGATATCTGAATTATTTCGATAAAAATTTCACATCAATGTTTTAAAATAACTTTTGGCGCTGTAATTCGTATAACACATGTTTTGAAACATAAACCGAACCACGTGGTTATGTAGATGACATATTATTAAAGATTTATCTGTTTTCGAATGGTTGGGATTTTATATATGTATATATAAAATAATTAATTGTATTAAAATAAATTATTTGCATAAATTGCACTATAATTTTTCTAAATTTGTTAAAAATATAATTGCACAGATGAGTAGATGGTAATTTTTTTACCAATCACGTGTGTAACATGCAAGGTCATATGTCGATAATGATATCACAATTATCTTTCGTTAAGTTAGATAAATCCCTCGTTTTATAATTTTTAATCAACTAAGAACATATTTTAGTTTTAAAATTATAAAATGGCATCTGTACGAAGAGAGATTCTTCATGTTCCTCCTTTACAAGAAATTTGTCAAGGTATTAGAATATCTTATGTGCATTTATGTTTCATTAATGTGATGTCTTAATTTAATATTTTAACAGGGTTTGTCACTATGTTAGGATGATCCCAGCAATAATATATAATACTTGTATATAATTCCTGCATTATGCATTTTCTATAGGTATATAAGTAGAGGTTGAGACAACAAAAACCTTACTGAAGCCATGAGCCTGAAGAGGGATTGGGAATTAATTGCCAATCCAAAATACATAGTTAAATAGACAAATAAAGTGAATTGTTTTAATCTTGGTTTCTATTTGTAGTGGATAATTAAGAAAGATGTGATAAAGATCACTAGTCTCACTATTAGAAGAAGAAACCTTTACTTAATATATATATTATATATGTGATATCAGTATGGCCATGATATAAATTTACAGTTCAATAATATAAAAAACATGAAAAAATAAATGATAACAGAAATTTCAAATTATAGAATCTGTTATTCAGCTGTAGTTAAAATAATTAAAACAAATGTTTATGTTTGTAATATTGAATTTGAGAAAAAAAAGAATATTTTCTGATGCTTCATGTCATAGTACTTTAAATCATGATAATTTTTGATTGTTGTAATGTAATTATTATTGTTTGTTTTTATTTAAAAGAATTTATTATTTGTTCTTTAGAAAACTTTTTATATGACAATAAGTAGTCAGCCAGTTACAGAAGTTTTATAGCAATAATTAAGCTCTTATAGGTAATTCTTTTATCATTAACAGGTAATGTTTGTTGAATTAACTTTAATTTGTGAAATTTTTTAATTTAATGGTTGAGCAGTTATTGTTCTGTGAAAATTTGTGAAAAAAATATAGAAGTTTTAAGTTTTTACAGAATATGTTATTGAAATATCTAAAATTTTGACTGATTGAATGATTTGTTGACTTGCAATATCAACATGCAGTATCAATTTTTGCCAATTGGGGATGTTTCTGATCAGCAATGAAGTCAATTAGATGATGAGGAATAGAATACAATATATCTAGTCCAAACTATCTGAGAAAATACCTGAGATTCTGAATCAGTCTATATCATTTAGAATAGTAGGTGGCCAAGATGGTAAAGACCATCTTGGCCATGTACGAGGGCTATTTTTTAACTTAAATAAGGTCCGTTTGTGAATGAGAGTGAGAATGATGCGCGATTGCAGCAGTGTGTATGAGCATCTGCCTTCAGCATGCTTTATGTGTATTTACGAGGGCTGTTCGGAAAGTTCGCGGCCTCAAATAGAACAACAAACAAAATAATGTTAAAACTTTTTTATTTTTCAATGTAGTCTCCTTTGTTAGCAATGCACTTATTCCAGCGATGTTCTAGCTTTTTTATGCCATCACAATAGGTCGATTTGTCAAGGTGTGCAAAATACTCGTTTACTTCAGAGATGACTTTGTCATTTGAGTGGAATCTCTTTCCAACCAAGAATTATTTTAAATTTGGAAAAAGGTGGAAGTCACTGGGGGCCAAATCAGGTGAGTACGGTGGATGTGGAACTAATTGGAAGCTAAGTTCGTTTATCTTTTGTTCAGTGATTCTGGCATTATCGTGGTGAAACAGAACCTTCTTCTTCAAGTGTGGCCTCTTCGATTTCTTTCTTCAGTTTTTCCAAAAGTATACAGTAATAGACAGCATTGATGGTCTTTCCTCTTTCTAGGTAGTCAATAAAGATGATTCCTTTAGCATCCCCAAAAAACCGAGGCCATCACTTTCCCCGCTGATGGAACTGTTTTTGCCTTCTTTGGTGGTGGCGAACTGGGGTGTTTCCATTGCTTCGACTGTTCTTTTGTTTCAGGAGTGTAGTAATGGATCCACGTTTCGTCAGTAGTCACAAACCGACGCAAGAAATCCCGTGGGTTTTTCTTGTAGAAGTCCAAACACTTCTTTGACATCAAAGTGCGAACACGTCTTTGCTCAGCGGTCAGCAGATGCGGCACCCAACTTGCTGAGACCTTCGTCATACCCAAATTTTCGGTTAGATGTGGTGCACTCGGTCGACAGAGATGCCTGTTGTCTCAGCTATCTCACGCGTTTTCAAACGGCGATCTGCTAACACCAAATCGTAAACTTTGTCGATATTTTTTTCAGTGACAGCAGTTGACGGCCGTCCGCTGCGAGGGTCATGTTTCACACTCTCTCTGCCAGATTTAAAAAGGGCTGTCCATTTTTTCACAGTGGTGTACGAAGGAGCAGACTCTCCCAAAACTTCATCCATGTCAGCTTTGATTTGAGATGCGGTCAACCCTTTTTTCGTCAGGTATTTTATGACCGCACGAGTCTCCATCTTCTCCATTTTTGACAAAGCATGTGCACATTGACTATCTGCTAAGCTGTCGTGGCAAAATTTTATGACAAATCAAGCGGAAATTGGTATCGTATCTTTAGCAAGTATGGCTGAATTATTCCCGCCAAAAATTAAATTGATCGCAGCGCCGCATATAGGCAAGGCCGCGAACTTTTCGAACAGCCCTCGTAGATGCCATTTGCAGCCATATCATCTGTCTGTGTGCTGAAATGTAGAAGTTTATATAATGTTTAAGAAAATTGAGTCGCCTGCCGACTGTAAGATACAATCTGTTATTCGATTTCAGCACAAAAGATCGTGGTAACTGTCTTTTGGGACAGGAAAGGTACTTTGTTAGTGGATTTTATGCCAAGAGGCACAACAATCAATTCTGATGCTTATTGTGACCTTGAGAAAACTCCGCCATGCCATACAAGACAAGCGGCGTGGCCTAATGTCTTCCAGCGGCAGATTTCTTTGAAGTCGGAATTAAAAAAGTTTTTGAGCGGTATGACAATTGTTTAAACACAAAAATGGAAATTATATAGAAAAGTAAATAAAAGTATGTAGAATATGGGAAAAAATATATTTTAATGATATTTACAGTATTTTTCTTCTTATTAAAAAACAGACCTTATTTAAAAAATAGCCCTCGTACTAATGTCTGTTTTAGCCATAATTTCATAAAAATAGAAAAATTAGTATGTTGTTTTAATTCTTTCAGTGAATATTATTGCAGTTGCAGAGATGTTTAACTCTCTGCAGCAAAGTTTCAAAACAAAGTTTTTGCTAAATATAATTAATTCTTAAATGAACAAGCTTATTTTTCTCCTTTAACATTAAAGAAAGTTGTGTAATCAAATTTTTTTTGAAAGCTTTATATATTTTATAAAGCTTTCAAAAAATTTGATTACACAACTTTCTTTAATGTGAAAGGATTTGATTACACAGTTCATTAATAAAATAATTATTAACAATCTGAAAATGTACAAGAATATTCAGGAATGATGTTGCATTAAGTTTTGATAATTGAAAACATGACAAACTAATAAATTTTGTAATAGTAATAATTTTCATGGTAATGAGAAAGAAAATGTATCCACATCAATTAAGAAATAAAATCAGATTTTTATATTAGTGGCATATTTATCCATCTGCTTTAATTATGAAGGTAACGCTATAAAACTTAGTTTTTAATTTCAGAAGTTACAGTCCAGTCATTAAAAAAAATTATATCACGGAAAACAAATGTCACATTTAGAAGTTTGAGATAACAAAACTTGAAATAAATCTATATATAAATTATTATCAAGCAAGTTAAATAGATAGTGAAAATGAAGTCTACTTATGAAACAACGTTGTATATGTTACTGTATGTTACTATTTTTTTTTACTACTTATGGAACTAAACTGCTTTATTATAATAAAGTAGTTTAGTTCTTAATTTGTCAATTTAATTCACTTCTCTGAATCACATTCTTCCTATACTTTGGTTTCATATACCAGAGTATCATTTCTTTAATAATTTCTCTAATCTTAAAGCATTTCATTAAATCATTTCTTTAAATATATATTGTACAGTACAAGTAGGAGGCCAAAATTTAGTGGATGCAACTCATATCACTACTAAGGGGTGACTGTCATATAAAATGGCTCCCCAGACTAGCATGTAAGCACTGAGGGCAGTGTACCACCCAACACTACAGTGGGATTAAAGTACCCACTGATGGTTTTCCACACTAACTTGGCGATTATCTGTTACCAAACAAAACTAGAGTTTGTTGTTAAAGACAATATTGCTGTCATAATACTACTGCAAATACAGTCAACAATGTTCAGGTGCCAGTGGCAGGACATTTAGTGATTTCTGTTCATACAAATTTGTCTCTACTAGTCAACTTCAAGTGGTTTGGGAAGAGACAGTATTCTGTAGCAAGCTTCCATCTGTCTGTGGATGGTGGACAAAGACACTGTTGCATCTGTTCATGCTTATCTTGTGATCAGATGATCATCTCTCCTCATGGTCTGATGTATCCACTGTCTCAACACATCCTCACAATCAGGTCAGAATAGTCCAGATGGCAGGCAATTTGGCAAAATAACAATTCTGTTTTCTCCAACCTGATGGTGCAGCCTTTAGCAAATTCCAACCTTATTCATCTTTAACCTTGTTGGTTCTTTTTTTTTTAACCTTTTTTCCTCTGCAATAGATGAATTTAATTCCATTCTACCTCATTAGCTATTAGTAACTAATATATCTGTAATAGTGGGAAATAGTTTAAGGAAATATGAATGTTTTCAGTCCAGTTAATAAATAATCTTTAGGCCTAAAAGATCATCAGAATAAGTGCTAGTGCAGGATAGGAAAGATAGTCCATCTCTCCTTGATTACTTATCCTATTATGTCAGTGCATGATGTGAAAGATTTGGCCTGTTAACTAGGTAAAAAACAATTGCATTTCTCCAAACTGTAACTCATTTTTAAAGGTGTATTGTTTGCTTTATTAAGTTAACTGCAGAAGCTTGTTTGACTTTAGCTATTAGCTAGTGTCATTATCTAAAAATCTACTTGTGCAAAGTTATATGCACTCATCCTATAATATTCTTTGCAGAATAATTGTGAAGGATCATTATGCTATTGATGTAATTCAATATCATTTCATCTTTTTATAACTTTGAAAATAGTCATAATTTAATAAAATAACCATTAATATGTTTAAATTTAAAACTATAATCTAATACTTTAAAATTATGATATAGGTTTTGTATGTTTATGAACTATACAAAATAACTATGTATTCTAGTGATAAATTATTTTTTAAAAGCCAATTATGGATCTGTTGTATAAAAATAAATTTATATGTTGTATATTTTTCTTTTTCTTCTATAAAATTCATGGTGCATTTTTAAAAACCTGCTTTTCATTTGGTCTCATATTCACATTAAGTATGCACGTGATTGAAAATAATGGATTTTATTTTGTTTTTATAGTTCTGCAAAATGGTTTACGAAATCATTTTGAAGAAGTAGAAGTTACATCGACCAGATGTCCCAATTTGCAAAAGAAACCATTCTTGTTAGCTGCAGAAGGTAATTAGATTAAATTAAAATTTAATTTTTAAGATGATATAAATTCTACTTTATATTAAAGAGAAAAAATTAACAAAATTTTAATAATAAATAAATTTAAATTATGTGCATTGGGTGTATTATTTTGATATATGTACTGTACATTCTCTGATTTAAGAATTTAAAATTAAATTTAATATGCATATTTATTTGACATTAGCATTTTAATAATGTGATTTTCTTAATATGACTTAACTGTGTTACACTTACGGTAGTTTCATAAAATATATTATTATTGTATAATATAATATTATAATAAAAATGCTAGAAAATAGGTAAATGATTTGAAATATTTGGTTAATATTTATAAATTTCTGAAATTAACATGAAGTTTAATTTGTAAGATAATGTAACAACATTTAGCAAAATATTTAACTTAGTTTTGTTACAAAGACATTATTTTATCCAATTTGTTTTAATAAGCATTGTTTTATGAATTTCTAATTCTGTTTTTCAGGATTATCTGGAAGTCCCCGTTTAGCTGATGTTGGTGGTGTTCCCAATCTAATTCCGTTAGTTCAAAAAGATAAAGTAATATTAAGACCTATTTAATTATAATAATTTAGACATTGTCTAGTTATTCTAAGCCAAATTTTGTATATGACATATACCATATATGAATTATATCATACATTGTGCATCTTTTTGTTATTCAAAACAAAAGTTAAGTTGAAAGAATTTCTTACAACCAAAACAACATATTTACTTTCGAAAATGAAAGCAAAGTATGATTTCCTAGCATTTTTCATTTATAGATTTAAAACAATAAGGATAATATATGTACTAAGTAAAATTAAATTTTTTGTAAATTTGTGTTCCAGCCCAAGTAGTTTCAGATAATTACCTATTACCTAGAAATTTATGCAACCATTTGTGCAAATATGTTTAAAATGTTTTACTTATGTTTTTAGTAAATATACTAAATTTCATGACAAGAATAGTCAGCATGTACCTAAATAGTTAGAATTATACTTATTCCTCTAATGGTTAATCTGACTATTTGTCATCCACAAAAACATGAATCTAGATATACACTAGGTCACAAAAGTATCTGGACACCTATAAAATATGAGTTTTTTTTAGTTATAACTCCTTTTTCACATGAAATAGGAAAAAATAATGACACACGTGAAATCTTCAGGCTTTTCTACACTAGAAAAATATTTACATATACAAAAAATTGATTGAAAAGAGAAATATAATTTTATTTCAAACTGTAAAAATTTTCACATCACAAAAGTATCCAGACAGAGAAAGTAAATGATACTTTCTTTCAACATGGCAATGATTGAGAACACACTTCAAAATCAGTCAGAGTTTGTTGATGTGCATTATATAAAAGTGCTTTCCTGGCCTTAACAATTGCCTGCTTCAATCCAATTAGCATTTCTGGGATCAAATTGAACAAACAACAGAACAGAATCAATAACAAATAAGACTGATCTTAAAAACATCATCATCAGAGTTTGGAATCTAATAGATGAAACTATTACAAAACAATTGGTTGAATCAATGCCTAATTGTTTAGAAGTTGTAATCAAGGCAAAATTTTTTTGCATATGTAAATATTTTACAGAGTAAAAAGTCTGAAGACTTCATATGTCATTTTTTTCCTGTTTCATGTGAGGAATAAGTTATAACTAAAAAAACTCTTACATTTTATAGCTGTCCTGATACTTTTGTGATCTAGTTTTTGGTATTACATAAAACAAGATCTTAGTGTATAATATAAAGCTCATAACATATAATATTTGATATATAAGGTCTATAGTACTGAATTTAGAGTACTGGATAAGACTGAATATTGAAAACTATTTGTGCATATCTGAAATCTCAAAAAATGCAAAAGTTTGTTACCTACAATTAAAACTGCCATTGGAACCATTTACTTATCTTTCTTACCTTTACTTTACTTCTAAAAAATTAATAAATTTTTAAACATAAAAAATTTATTCTATATCATTAAACTATATATTAAAAAAATTACTACAAATTAAATTTATAATATAAAATCTTAATAAAGTAAACATTATTATGATAAAAGTAAAGTAAAGCACAAGTATTATACTACATTTTATTCATTATTTTTAACTTATTCAGGTCTACAATTTTCCTGAAGTAGCAAAACAGATAGATCTTCCAGATGCCTTTATTATTGGGGCTGGAGCAGGACCTTGCCATTACATAGGTGTTAATTCTGAGGTATATTTTAATATTATTTTTAGCTTTAGTTATTCTCATTGCAATTTTTAGTTAAAAATTGCAATGAGAATAAACATGAAATCCTTCTTCAATATTAACACAAAATTTTGACAAGGAAATAAAGTTGAGAGATTAAAATATGTATACAGCAATATGTGAAATTACTAATTGTTATCATTTTATGTATGAAATAATTTTGTCAAATCCTTTTTTTTAACAATAATTTTGATAATAATAAATTAAGTTTTTTTAAAACAACTTTATAAAATTACTGAGTTATTTCATTGTACAGTGAAACCTCAATTAGCAGACACTCCCAAATAGCAGACACCTCTACTTAGCGGACATTTTTACAATCCCCAGACTCTTCAAATACAGTCGATCCCCCCCCATAACACTGTTGATTATTTTGTTTTATATGAATTCCATGTTGTATGAGTCACTTAGATTTTACAAATATGTGTGCCAGGCTGTGAATGGCTCACATATTTGTAAAATCTAAGTGACTCGTACAACATGGAATTCATATAAAACGGAATTATCTACAGTGTTATAGGGGGTCGACTATATACTCTTTAATTAAGAATTCAAAATATCTTGTTTTCCACATAATCATAATAATTATTTTCTGGTTTGTAATTAAGCTCAAAAGTACAATTTTATACCCAAAGACTACTCTGACTTAAAATATTAATTGAGTAATCATATATCAGTTATATAATTTCTATAATAATGAAAATAAAAATTTAATTATTTATATTTTTAACAGCTTATGCCAAATATCAAGAATGGTAAAAGTGTCATCAATAAGACTCATTTTGCAAAAGTTGCCGAAGCAAGTATAAATTAAGTGTTTATTTTTTAATTAGTTTTTAATAATTAAAACCAAAATCTAGTGAGATTTTAAATTGAAATCAATTTCTAATTATTTTCCAAAATAATTAACCAAAATAGTTTATTCTCTTTATAAGGACGGTTCTTGCGACTTACAATTGATTAAGGATAATACAGAGTTTTGTTTAATGGGAAATTTGTTTGCAAGTGAAGGAAAGCCTGGTGAGGTAAGTTTCTAGTGTAATAAAATAAAACATATAAACAAAATACAGTAAGACCCCGCTTAACGCGGGGGATGTGTTCCAAGACAACAAAGCGCTAAACAAAACAGTGTTAAACAAGGTAATTTTAACACAGTAAATAGGGAAAGGGGAACACGCGACCAAAATAAAACAGATTTTACTTTAATTTTAAGTTATTTTTATATTAATTTGCATAATAATATATGTTAAATAACACACAAACATATGCACATAGAAATGTAAAGTTCATTTTTGTGACAAAGATCCTCGCTCTTCTGAAATTCTTGTTTTTTGTGATAAAGTTGCGTAGTTTCATTTGTCGCTATTTTTTCTTTCCTTAGGCAAATGTCGGTAGCGGAAGATCACATCCAAAATGACTTGTTTTGTTTTTGCACTCCTTTCAAAATCTGAATCATTTGCTACAATTTATCAAAGATTTTGATTATCATTACCAAACTTTACTAAGGAAATTTGTAGAGGGATTCTTTGGGCTCTTCATTTTCAGAATCACTATTTTCCAGTTCTACATGAATTCCTTGTTCTTCCAGTTCTCAAAGATCGTTGGTAAGGCACTCACCTGCAGTAACTCCTCAATATCCTCCTCGTTTACATCTTCTAATCCTGTTGTATCGATTAAGTTGATAATTTGGTCAACGATAGATCCTTCTCATTCAGAATTCTTAGATACCTCCAGCCGTAACTTCTTCCACACTCTGTTTGTGCATTTATCAGTTAATTCTTGCTAAGTGAAGTCGATGTTGCCTATAGCATCCATGATATTATATTTTTTCCAAAATTGCACCAAACAAACATAGATTTAAGGAAAGTACTGTGCTACAACAAATTGCCACCTTTTGTTGATTGGTTCGTGTTTGGGAATAATTGTATTATGTACGAATTGATGAAATACCAAGATAATTTGAATCAGAGTAAATTTTGAGCGTTTTTTTTAGGCTTCCAGCAGATTGCGTTATATCGAATCAGCATTAATTGAGGCAGTGTTAAGTGGGGTCTTACTGTATATATAATTTTTTTTTTAAATATAAATTCTTGACAGCCCTGAATATATGGGGTCCAGGGGTAGAATGGATTCCTTTTGTCTCTTAACAGGCTCCATTAGCTATTGTTTTTTTTTGAACAAATGAAATGCATAGAGCATTTTTTTATTAATAAAATGCAGTCTTAAATATTTTAGTTTGTTAGTAAAAATAACATTAATTTTATAGAGGTAATAACCACCATAGGCCCCTAAATTTTTTAAGGACCCAGGAACTTAATTATATTCGTGTTTACTATTTTTAGCACTTGCCTTGATCTTAAGAGAGTCTTAAAATTAGAAATAGAGTACTGTAGCATTTTTTATTTATTCATGTTTTTTGCATTTATATGCACTGGCAAGTAAAAAAAATTATGATTCACTTTAAGGTGATATTATTGCTTTATTATTATTATCTGGAATCTAGCATGCTGTATTAGCAATATAGGACAGTAAATTTACTTAATAGTTGATGCAAATTTAGTGCTTAATGGTTATTTTTATTTTTTCGGATAATTTGACTACACTTGATAAACTTCGTCAAACCTGTGTCATTTGCAAAATGCTGATTTTAATTATTCATTGTTGGTTTTTTTTAAATTAAAATTCTTTTCTTGAGGAGTAGAGAATTAACGAGGATTAACCAGCATTATGGTTTCAAAAATCATAGTCCTACCAGGTGTGATATCAGTCCTAACTGGGTGTCTTGACCCCCCCACCAATGTTGCATGCCCAAGTTGTTCTTTCAGTCAAAAATGCATAAGGTGGGCTGGCTGTTGTGACCATCCTATCTATTTTTTAGAAAAGGTGCTAGCTAAATTTCTCTGTAAATCAAAATTATCACAAAAAGAAATTTTTCTATCTATTCAAGTTTTCAAAATTTATAAGAAAATGCTCTAATGTAAGCATTAACTAAGTGATAAATTTCTAAGTTTTAGTACAATAGCATGCTCGTGATTTTCTCACTCTCAAAGAATACTTATTATTTTTATATATTGGCTGCACTCATATTTTAGAAAGAATAGTGTTAATAGACAGGTAATGATACATCTTACTGATATATTGTAATTGAAATATTTTATTGATATTATCTTATAAAATTAGAATATTTTAATTAGATTGAACTTCTTTAAAAGATTTTTTAGAATTCTTAGAAGAAACTAATCTAAAATTTAAATGTTTTTTATGAGATAATACACCCTGAAGATGGATCAAAAGATCCAACAGTACTAGAAAAGTTTAGAAATATACATATATAATAGTCTGTTCTCTAATAAAGCAGGGTTTAAGATTTTTGAAAATTGGAAAGTCAGTTATGAATGATGACATTATAATTTTCCTTTGAATTTTGAAAGTAACTTAGAAAAAATTATCTTTGCAATTTTATTTTTCTGTAAAAGAAATATTAGTCTATATAATAAATACTGATCATTCAATGTTGTATATTAAAATTTATTATTTTTTAATATGGTAGCCATGTAACTTCAATCTGTCATTTTTTGAAAATATAATAAAACTAAATGACAAAACCAAGTCAACTTGCAAGGAGTAGATTTGGCAATGCTGTAAGTCAGCCAAGGTTTATTAAGTTCACGGGTTGGATGTCACGCCAACTTATGTCAATCAAAACTTCTTCCAAGAATGTCAGTCTATGAGGCGTTAAATATAATTGAAATTATTTTAATTTACGAGCGCTTTCGACGTAAATAAGCACGTCGTCTTCAGGTAAAATTAAATTCGAATAAAGAATTCGAACCATACATTTAAATTTAAAACATTAACGATACTAGCCGTTTTTGAACATACAAAAAAGATTTTAAATTTAAATTTTTAGAATTAAACATTTAAAATTGGTGCGCATGCGTTTTAAAACAAATAAACATCGATTGGAGTGGCTATTAATTATT